CAGAGCAGTGTTTAACCCCAATGGTCTTGGATTTGGCTTTGCGGGTAATATAAGAAGAACCTCCGTGGAGTTGAAGTTTAGTGTTTGTACATCTTCAATTCTTCATACAATCTCTCTGTCTGTCTGTCTCTCTTTTTAATGGTTTTCATATTTGCAGTATGTATTCTGTCATTACAATGTTGCAAAAACTAAGCTAGCAGGAGCTAAATCCTAAGAGAAATGTACAACAAAATATAATTTTAAACTTTTGGCTTTTCTTCCATTTGTAATGAAGTTGCTGAATTATTTATAAATTAGTATCTATCTCTTTCTGTGCCTCGATGACACCGCTACATCTCCAGCATTTATCAGTTCCAAGATGGCTGTTTTTTTCTTACTCTTTCTCCTTCCATGGCTACCCATTTGAATCTGCAACATCAACTACTCAACTACTCGTAAGCTTCCTCTCTTTCTCTTTATTACTTTAACGTTAATATACTTTGCAATGACAGTGACACTCCTTTATCCTGTAAAAGGAATAATATTTGATATATATATTAAGCACATCTTATATTCGAACAGAAACCTATTCTTGGGAAACTTCTACCACGTGTATGTTCCTCCTTCAATTTCAGGTTTGCTTTCACACTACACAAATCTAAAAACTTTCCTTCTCCGGTGATTTAGGGAATAAAAAAAATATAAAAGATATTATAATCTGGACTCAAAATCGATGGACACGATTTGCTATCTCAATTCAATGGTGCAGATTTGTTCTCATTTTTATTGGCGCACAGCTCATCTCATTCTCAAATTTTAAATTTGGAGTTCAAAATTTAAATTTGAAAAGCTGACCACTCAATTAATGTTCACCTACTTTTTTCATTGGAATTGTTAAACATTTAACAAAATATTGAAGCCTTCTCATTGTTCTATGAATTGCAAAATCACATCCTTCTTCTTTCTCCTGTTCTTCGTGTTCTTTTTTTTTTCTAGATTCCATATCATTCTATGCGATTTTCTTGCTGCTGTTCGTCGTCATTTTTCTTGCCTACGATTTCTTTCTTCATTTCTGTTTGTAGGGGTTGTTGTGTTGGTATTATTTTTTGTTTTCTTTGGCTTTCTCCGATTCGTTTCATATTTTAATGGAAGGTCCTTCTTCTGTAAACGTGCCACGGTTTCTTTCTTCATTTCTGTGTGTAGGGGTTATTGCTATGAATTCATGTTCTGTTTTTTGTATACTAATTCTCTTTTTTTCATTTTGTAAGGCAGAAGATTTTGTCGTATTTCATGGTGTGTGGTTCTTGCCTACATTTTTTTTTCTTCGTTCATGTGTTTATTATTATTTTTGTTTCCTTTTATAAACAAGTTGCTATGAATTAATTTTCATTTTTTGTATACTAATTTTTTTTTTCTCGATTTGTACGGCATAAGATTTTGTTGTATTTCTAAGAAATGGAATCGGATCATACTCAACACCTCGGTACCTTTTTCATTCCTTTTCACCCTTTTGCATTTTCGATGAGCTTTATGAAGTTGACTTCAACTACTGTACATACAGCGCGTCACACCATTGGAACACAGTGAGTGGTTGAATCTGCTGTTGACACAAATCTGGTCCAGCTATTTTAACCCAAAGCTCTCAAAAAGGTTATCAGCCATAGTTGAGGTAAAATTCCTGTCTCTTCCCCATTACTCTATTGATGTATTTTTATACCTTAATTCAACATTTAAATTTTTATATCTTAATCCAACATTTATGGCTGGACTTCATATACTTTCTTCCATCCATTATTTTTATTTTGTGCAATATGAGTAAATTGCTTTAATTTTCGTAAGATCTGCAATTCTGTATATAAAAGTCTATTGTCTTGGAGTTTTGCACTGTAAGTCTGAAATTAACTTACTTCGTCTTTCTTTTGTGTCTCTAGAAACGTTTAAAGCTCCGGAGACCAAGATTTATAGTAAGTAACAATCATTTTCATCTATGGAAGAGCCTCACATATGTTAAATTATTATAATCCTCTCAATACATGAGAAGAAGGGCAAAAAAATTAATTTATTGTTTTTTTAATAAAAAATTACGAATAAGTAGTTGTTTTGAAATTAATTACGAAAATATAACAGTCAAACACTCCCCATAGGGGCGTGACCAGTTGGAGAGAGACACGCCCAATGTTGGGCGTGACCAAGTTGGAGAGAGACACGCCCAATGTTGGGCGTGACCGAGGAGAGAGACACGCCCAATGTTGGGCATGACCGAGGAGAGACACGCCCAATGTTGGGTGTGTTTCACAAGGTGCTGCCACGTGTCACAAAAGTCAATAATTTGACCGTAAAACTTTGGAAGTCCATAACTTTTGACTCGGGTATCTGAATTAGGTAATTTTTTTTTTGAATCCACATAACTTTTTGAGATCTACGTAATGACACCTAATTTGACCTATTTTGTCTCTCACAAAAAAATTTAAATTTACAACAATGATACCATAATTATTAAAAATGACATGACTTTGTTACCTTATAATTATTACTAAAAATAATCTAACATTTTTATAATCATGAACAAAAACTTAAAAATCAAAATAAAACGAAAAGCACTCACTTAAATTTTTAATATAAATTATTCGATATTCTGTCACCGACAGATGTTAACTTTTATTAATTATAAATTTCATAAAATTCTTCATTCAAAATTTTAATATATATCTCAATAACATACATAATTAACCTTATCATAACTTACCATAATCATAAGGATCTTTATTATGAATGTTTCTAATCATAACAGTGGTTTTCTGTCCATTAATTTGTGTTTAAACGTTCTTATGGTATCATTATTGTAAATTTAATTTTTTTTGTGAGAGACAAAATATGCCAAATGAGGTGTCATTACGTAGATCTCGAAAAGTTATGTGGATTCAAATTTTTTTTTACCTAATTCGGATACCCGAGTCAAAAGTTATGGACTTCTAAAGTTTTACGTGGCAGCACCTGGTTAAACACGCCCAACATTGGGCATGTCTCTCTCCTCGATCACGCCCAACATTGGGCGTGTCACTCTCCAACCGGTTACGCCCCTATGGGACGTGTTTAACTGTTATATTTTCGTAATTAATTTCAAAACGACTAGTTATTCTTAATTTTTTTTATTAAAAAAAAAATAATAATTTTTTTGCCTGAGAAGAAGCACTACTTAGGATGCTCAGGGAGGTTCCTATCTAAAGGCGTCTCACCATATGGTGTTTGCAGCTCTGAGATATTGTTTGTATAGTTCGGTGAGATATTGTCCAACATATAATAGTACATATTCCTAAATCCTAATCATCACCTTTTCTTTGATGTTCACAGGGTTTTTGTCCATAATTATAAGTACCTTTTATCACAACTTGAGGGAGGCAATGAAAGCACTGAAATAGTGGGCCTAAGAACATAAAATCAAGACAAGAAGAATCAGGGAAAACTAAAGAAACTAAAATCAAATTCCCCTGAATTTGCAAGGGCAGTCCCTAGTACAAATTGACGCTCAGTGTTTGTCTTTAACAGGACGTTTGGTTCAGGAGAAATTTTATGAATAATAAAAAAATGATATGCATAGAAAAATTGTTGGAAAATGAGTTTGGTAGGAAAATATAAAAAAAGTTGTTTGGTTGAAAAAAATTTGACTGAAAAAATTAGGTAACTTTTATAAAGTCTATGTTTGGCTGTAGATAAAATATAGATAGGAAAAAAAATGCTATTATGAAAATAACCCTGTTTTTAAAAATTATAAACAAAAACACACACTGCATTCAGTAACGAATATTAAATACAAAAACTACAAGTTGGGGGCACACTTCGGACAATTATTTATGAATACATATTTGATGGCATAATCGTTCCGTGTACATCAATAATCTTTCATTATCAGACAAAGTCATTAAATACATTTCAGGTTTAAAAAATTATCGTTTTGGATCCTGATGACATCCAAGTATGATTATTGTCCTCTGCGATAACGTCGTTCGGGGGAACGTCTTCTTCAACACCACTGTTTGGAGGACCAACTTCCGCAACGACGTTGTTTGGAGCAGCATCCTCAGCTTCAACGACGCCGTTTAGTGGATCGTCATCAGCGACAACGTTGTTCGGGGGAACGTCTTCTTCAACGACGACGTTTGAGGGAACAACTTCTGCAACGACAGGGTTTGGGTTAGGGGGATCGTTTGGAGCATCATTATCCTCCTCCTCCGCTGCAACTACGTTGTTTGGAGCGCTTAATGTTTTGTCAGCTTCGTCATCAGCTGCAACTACGACTCCTTTGTTCTCAAGCGCATTCCCTTCTGGCGCTTCTTCACTTTCGCGCGCTATTTGGAGGGTACGCTCGTCATCTCATTCTTGCCCAATGTGACCATTTAGGTAGCTAAGATGCAATACCACATATTAAGAGGGAATATTTGGCCAGCTTTCTTAATTAGATAGACATGCAAATTGTTTCGGTGGCATAATGATTTAGGTAGGCATATATTCAAAACGTTTAAACCAAACAAGGGCACCCAATAATCCCACTTCTCAAATACCCATCTATCATAATCCTCCAACCAAACACACCCTAATTTCCTTATGCTATTTCCTATACACATACCTATCAATTGAAAACATTAATGTTGTTATCCCATTAACAAATAGGTAACTACGTACGTGCTCCACTTGATGCTCACATACCACCTTATTAACAATCTTATCACATCCTATACCTTTTTTGGTCTTTGATACATCATACATAAATATATTTTACATGTATTATTGTAAGACTAACATTCGGACATTGCTGTGAATAAGGAATGCTCCCAAATATTATATTAACGAATCTTTCCTTTCTTAATTTAAAATTGCCTCCACGTTCCTCTCGAGTCATACACAATTTTGTATATATAATGAAAACAAACTCTCCAGTGCCAACCCATGTGTACTACATACACTCACAGAGTCTCAGCAGTGAGAACTTACTTCAGCTCCGTTTTCCATTTGTTTGTTCATAAATGGAAAAAATAGTGAAAGAGAAAGAGCCTCTAATAAGCATTACGAACCGCAAGGGTGGCTTCAGGACCTTGCCATTCATCATAGGTACGCCAACTCATTTTATTACAAACTTTATATATATTATTAGGAGAATGTTATATTTACAAACTTTTTGTTTACAAACTCTTACAGACTACACTAAGTATGACCGGTCATACTTAGTGTAATTTGTAAAAAAATTTTTGTAAACTGATCATTTTCTATATTATTATATTGTGTCGTTTATGTAATGTAATGGACCATCCCTTTGGCAGCAAACCAGGCATTTGAGAAAATGGCAAGTTTTGGGATATTGCCAAATATGATTTTGTATTTGACAAGAGATTATGGTATGGAGGCTGCTGAAGCCACCAATGTAATCCTCTTCTGGTCAGCGGCTACAAATTTCACGCCTGTTGTTGGTGCTTTTATTGCTGATTCCTATGCGGGTCGATACCCTACGATTGCTTTTGGATCTGTTGTTAGTTTCCTCGTAAGTGCTAAATTAACTACCAATTTTTCTTAAAAATTTACGTGCTTAATATATCTTATCCACCTGAATTTTTTTTTTTTTTTTTATCTTTTTGGTAAATAATACAAACCATTCATGTGGCTGGAATATACGGCCCATCAAGTCATACCTACTATAAAAATGGCCCTTAAGATTGTAGGACATAAGTGTAGTTATTCTATTTATTGAAGTGCTCCTTAAAGTTGTAGTTACTTCATTTATATTTTTTTTTTTACTTCACTTATATTTAATGCTTTAAGGTTACATGTTTATTTCAGCTTTATTTTTTAGAAAAAAAAAAATTTTAAGTAATAGTAGGCTTTATCATTGATTAACTCTATAATATCAAAATGTAAATAGAGTGAATACAATCATAGTGCTCCAAGATAATGTAATAATTTTGCATAGAAACGTATAAATGAGAAACATTGATTTTGTCCACCAAAAAAGAAAAAGAAAAAGAAAGAAACATTGATTTTGTATTTGGGGATCAAGGTTTTCTAGTTACTTATTTATTATGTGTTATTACAGGGAACACTACTTTTTTGGCTAACAGCTATGATTCCAGAACTAAGTCCTTCTTGTGACCAATTTACAAAGAGGTGCAGCTCTCCAACAACAACTCAACTTGCATTCTTATATTCTTCTCTTGGCCTCATGTCCATTGGAGCTGGAGGTGTAAGGGCTTCTTCCTTGGCCTTTGGCATAGACCAATTAGACAGGAAGGACAAAGATGTAGGAGTCATAGAGAGCTACTTCAACTGGAGCTATGCTTTAACTGCTGTGGCAATCCTAATTGGAATGACCAATTTGGTGTATATTCAAGAAAATTTTGGGTGGAAGGTGGGATTTGGAGTACCTGTAGTCCTCATGTTCATGTCAATGGTATCTTTCTTTTTAGCCTCTTCACTATATGTCAAACTGGAAGCTAAAGGCAATGTGATCAGTGGGTGTGCTCGAGTTGTTATAGCCTCTTACAGGAACAGACACCTTAGCTTACCACTACATGTCTCCAATGACATGTACTATTGTGAAAAGGAATCAACTATGCTTATGCCAAGTGATAAATTAAGGTACTAAATTATGAACTACTCAAGTGTCATTTTTTTTGTCATATACTTAACCGATTGTGATAAATCAATTCAGTATCTGAGACTTTTTTGCAAGTGCTGATATATGTGATCACTGATTTGGCTTTGGTGTCCTATTTCTTCTGATTGGAAGGTTTCTAAACAAAGCCTGCCTTATTAAAAATTCTGTACAAGACCTTACCCAAAATGGAAGAGCTGAAAACCCATGGAATCTTTGCACAGTGGACGAAGTGGAAGCACTCAAAGCACTAATCAAGATTATCCCAATTTGGATTACAGGAATGATAATGTCTGTGAATTTGAGTCAGGGTTCTTTTTCTGTGTTGGAGGCATCCTCCATGGATCGCCACATTACTTCACACTTTGAAATTCCTGCAGCTTCCATGGGGACATTTATGATTATCTCTACAGCAGTTTGGATTGTCCTCTATGATCGTGTTGTAATCCCCTCTACATCCAAAATAGCAGGTCTACATTATCGTCTTAGAGTAAAGCAGAAAATGGGAATTGGACTTTTTGCAGTTTGTTTATCAACAGCATCACTGGCAGTTGTAGAGGGTATCAGGAGGAAAATGGCAATAGAGGAAGGCTTCTCAGAGTATCCAGAGGGGGTTGTGAACATGTCAGTGCTGTGGCTATTGCCACGGCAAGTCCTTGATGGTTTTGCTGAAGCTTTCAATGCAGTTGGGCAAAATGAGTTCTTTATCTGTGAGCTGCCTCAATCAATGTCTAGCATAGGATCCACTCTTTCTGGGTTAGGGATGTCAGGTGCAAATCTAATAGCTAGTTTACTTATGAGTGTTGTTGACAAAGTTACCAAAGGAGAGGGAAAGGTCAGTTGGGTTTCAAGCAACATAAACAAGGGTCATTATGATTACTATTACTGGCTTATTTTTGGATTGATGTTGGCCAATCTCCTGTATTTCCTTTACTGTAGTAAGGCATATGGACCTTGTAAGGGAGAAGAAAATGAAGGTCAAGATGAAAGACATTAGTAAGGGATCCTTTGAAAATGTGATATATTTTTGCCTCACAAGATTGGTAGTATATTTTTCCATTAATATTTTCTTGCTTTTTATTTGGATTCATTGACAACTGATCTGAATTAGTTTGGTATTAAATGTAATGTTATTTTTTATTTTTAGGTCTTACTATCATAATTTAGGCTGTTGGGTCAAATTCTTAGAAAATATCAAACATCTTTTGGTTCTACCTCGAATGCCTTCAAGAGCATCAGATTTATATTTTTTGAACCAAGGTATTTGAGTAGCCAAATTTTGTCAAAAATTGGAAAGAATATTTTCCAGAGAAAGAATAAGGAAAAGTTCCCGTAGTCAAGCAAGAACACCAATAAGCAATATCTAAATTAATGCTATAATTTAATTCCAGTTATACACAAAAAAAAGTGATACACCAAAATAATACCATCAAACAACAACTTCTCATGGATTCTCAAATAAACAAATTCAGCACGAAAAGCATGTACAATGCTGTAGTGAACACTGAATAATCATCCAGCTATCTGGGATGGGGTAAATTACGAGGGATGTTTAGAGAATATCATACAATGCTGCAGTGGAGATAGTAATAGTGACTCCAATTATTAAGAGAATATTACATGGACCACTTCAAAGAGAGAGATAATAGCCTGATAAATTCAACAACTACCGTGACTGAATTAGTTGAAGCAAGGTTAAGAAATGTGCTTGCATCAAATTTAAATGGCAGAGCAGACCTGCTACCAGAGACAGCCCTAATTGCAATGAAAGGCACCCTTTGTTGTAGGCATATTAATGCCACAGACGCACTTTCCATGTCCACAAGGTCTACGTTGAAATTATTGTGTATGAAGGTTTTGTAGGCCTCATTCGACAAGAAAATACTTGCACTTGCTCCTCTCTGGACACGGACTACCTTTGGAGTGTTCAACAAACATGTGGTTGAATTTATGCACTTCTCCAGTTTTATATCCTGATTAACCAATGTGCATGTGGATCAATAAAGTGGTTAATGAACTAAATAAAAAATTAACCAAAAAGAAGTTTGGTAATGTTAAATATCATAGATACAAGAGGAAATGATAGTAATCCTTGTTATATTAAACTACACAACAGTGGTGCTATTATATAGCAAACCAATTGAAGAATACAAAGAGACACACTCAATGTGGGACTTCTACACTATTAACACTAACACTCTTAACACTCCCCCTCAAGCTGTAGCATATAGATCATATGCTACAACCTTGATACATAAATAATACTCCCATTAGGAACCAAAAACAACAATGCTACATCAACGAAATGAAATGACTAAGTACAACAAATCAACTGGAATCACCATCAGTCTGAAGAGCTGATAAAGAGACAGTGCTGGAATGGACATCAGAGCATGGATGGTGCCGGAATTATCATCGGCAAAGACAACTGAGCTGACCAGGACATCAGCATCAAGATCCCTCTCAGACATTTCATTTAACAGTTGGTGAGCAGCCGTGGTTTCCCCTTGACTATGCTACAAGCTTATTGCAAGAAAGACCAAGTAACATAACATCAAAATAAATCAACAATGTGCTAAAAATGGCGTCGAAATGAACATCAACATGGAAGATGCCTGAATGATCATCGGCAAAGACAATTGTGCTGGAATGACCATCAGCAACATGGACGGTGCTCCCCCTCAAGAGGAACTTCTAAACAGTGCCGGAATTATCATCGGCAAAGACAATTGTGTTTGAATGATCATCAGCAACATGGACAGTGCTCCCCCTCAAGAGGAACTTCTAAACAGTGCCGGAATTATCATCGGCAAAGACAATTGTGTTGGAATGACCATCAGCAACATGGACAGTGCTCCCCCTCAAGAGGAACTTCTAAACAGTGCCGGAATTATCATCGGCAAAGACAATTGTGCTGGAATGACCATCAGCAACATGGACAGTGCTCCCCCTTAAAAGGAACTTCTAAACAGTGCCGAAATTATCATCGGCAAAGACAATTGTGCTGGAATGACCATCAGCAACATGGACAGTGCTCCCCCTCAAGAGGAACTTCGGTGTCAGAATTAACATCAGCGGAGACAACATCAGCAACTTGGACAGTGCTCCCCCTCAAGATGGATGATGAATAGTATAAATACTCCATCTTGGGAAGAAAGAAGATTAAAGAAAAACAAAGCTTCGCGGAATCGGAAAAGTCGCCGGAGACGGCGGTGGGTCGTCGGAGACGGTGGTGGATCGCCGAAAAAGTCGCCGAAAAGTCATCGGAAAAGTCACCGGAAAAGTCACCGGAGACGGCTGTCAACGGTGGACGACGCGGTCAATGGTGGTCGGTCAACGACAACGGTGGTCAACCCAACAACTTCCCAAGGATCATTCTTTTCTGATGTGACAGATCAGTCTAAGCTGCTGTCACAGAGCATACTAAGAAAAACCCGAAAAAGAAATAGCAACGGGAATCCCTCAAGGAGGGTGATATCTCTCTATAACCATATTGAAATTATGGAAAATAGAACTAAGTTAAACGGATTAAGATTCCTCTTGTTAGGCTCGAGATACCATGTTAAAATATCATAGATACAAGAGGAAATGATAGTAATCCTTGTTATATTAAACTACACAACATTGGTGCTATTATATAACAAACCAATTGAAGAATACAAAGAGACACACTCAATGTGGGACTTCTACACTATTAACACTAACACAACATTGGTGCTATTATATAGCAAACCAATTGAAGAATACAAAGAGACACACTTAATGTGGGACTTCTACACTATTAACACTAACACTCTTAACAGGTAAATATATCAATAGAAAAGGTCATGAATATCAATTATGGATTTGGAGTGGAGCTACTAGGTTCATTATCATTGATGCAACAGAACTTGGGTTCTACTTACTGGATATTCCATAAAGAGTAACATCTAGATTTCTAATTTCCCATTCTAGCATAAAATCTATACATACGTAGTTTCTCTAGAACTTCCCTTGTATGTAAACTATTTTCTTCGTGCAATTTTTGCCTGCTTCTGTGTTACATAAGAACTATCATGAAAACGTAAGTGTAAATCTTAATCTTACTATCATAATTAAGCTTAGGAAAAAAGGTTGGAAAGGAAATTAAGTGAACTCAATAGAAAATCAGTGAACTCAAAAAAGGTTCAAAATTTATTTGCTAATTATATTCCAAGGTTTGTAGGACTCCACCAAGAAATTGGCCTCTCTTAGATAACCAGATCACGACATGACCAATTTTGTTACTCAGGCACTGGCTACAATAAAGGGGTTCAAAATTGTTTAGCAAGCGGATAACCATGAAGATATGTCATACAATCTAGAGAACTTATACATGGTATGGGTTTTGCACTCCATGGATTCCCTTTGGACATGTCTGGTACCAGATTCTGACTAGCCAAGAAGTTCCCACCATGGAATTTCTCATCACTCATCTTCTGAGGGTTCCTCCACCTAAAGCTCAAGTCTGCCACTCAAATACGACCGAGTTTTAGCCATGATGACCACCACAAGGTCTCATGGTCAATGTGTAAGCAAGCAAGATCGAGGGGGTCATGGTCATCCATGTATTTTTCTTTATGAAGCTCTCCAAGAAGGAATGCATTGTTCACATCAAACGGCTAATAGATCCAGTTGTTGGCAGCTGCAATGGAGATGATCAATCTCACTGTTGTCATCTTGGCAACAAGAGAAAAGGTGTCAAAATAATTCACCCCCTTGGTTTGTGTATAAGCCTTAGCAACTAATCTTCATACCTTTCAATGAACCTATTCGACCAGTTGTATATGATCTTGTACATCTATTTGGATCCTATTGGGGTCTTCCCTACAGATAAGTTAGTAATAGTCCAAGTATGATTGTTCCTAGTGCTTGGATCTCAGCCTGCATGGCCTGATTCCAGCAATCCAATTTGGCAGCTTGGGAAAAGGAGGTTAGTTCAACAGAGAATGAGATAGAAAGACTGAAGTGTTTCTAAGAAGCAGAAAGTTTGTGATGTGAAAGACTGAAAGAAAGAGGATATTTAATACCTATGGAGTCATAGAATGGATTTGAAGCAAACAGCAAAAAGTGGTAATCAAGTATGTAGCTTGGTGTCGGTGGTTTTTGTACTACTTTGTGACTTTCTAGAGGATTGAGGAACAAATGGAGAGATAGCAGTTGCTATATTGTTAAATGAGGATTGATTGAGTTGATGATGGCTAGGTAAGAATGCAGATGGGAAACCAGGATGGAGTATTTATACTATTCATCATCCATCTTGAGGGGGAGCACTGTCCAAGTTGCTGATGTTGTCTCCGCTGATGTTAATTCCGACACCGAAGTTCCTCTTGAGGGGGAGCACTGTCCATGTTGCTGATGGTCATTCCAGCACAATTGTCTTTGCCAATGTTAATTCCGGCACTGTTTAGAAGTTCCTCTTAAGGGGGAGCACTGTCCATGTTGCTGATGGTCATTCCAGCACAATTGTCTTTGCCGATGATAATTCCGGCACTGTTTAGAAGTTCCTCTTGAGGGGGAGCACTGTCCATGTTGCTGATGGTCATTCCAGCACAATTGTCTTTGCCGATGATAATTCCGGCACTGTTTAGAAGTTCCTCTTGAGGGGGAGCACTGTCCATGTTGCTGATGGTCATTCCAGCACAATTGTCTTTGCCGATGATCATTCTGGCATCTTCCATGTTGATGTTCATTTCTACGCCATTTTTAGCACATTGTTGATTTTTGGTTTCTCATTTAGGAGATTTATTTTGATGTTATGTTACTTGGTCTTTCTTGTAATAAGCTTGTAGCATAGTCAAGGGGAAACCACGGCTGCTCACCAACTGTTAAATGAAATGTCTGAGAGGGATCTTGATGCTGATGTCCTGGTCAGCTCAGTTGTCTTTGCCGATGATAATTTCGGCACCATCCATGCTCTGATGTCCATTCCAGCACTGTCTCTTTATCAGCTCTTCAGACTGATGGTCATTCCAGTTGATTTGTTGTACTTAGTCATTTCATTTCGTTGTTGTAGCATTGTTGTTTTTGGTTCCTAATGGGAGTATTATTTATGTATCAATCTTGTAGCATATGATCTATATGCTACAGCTTGAGGGGGAGTGTTAAGAGTGTTAGTGTTAATAGTGTAGAAGTCCCACATTGAGTGTGTCTCTTTGTATTCTTCAATTGGTTTGCTATATAATAGCACCAATGTTGTGTAGTTTAATACAACAAGGATTACTATTATTTCCTCTTGTATCTATGATATTTAACATTTAAGATTTCAAAAGGAGATTTGTTATAGGGAATGTTTGTTGGAATACAGTTAATTAAGTGGACAGAAAGAGAAATGGCATAAGAACAGAAAATTTTGGAAAGGTTGGCTTGAAATAGAAGTGCCCTTGCCACATTTAGGATATATTGGTGCTTTCTCTCCAGAATAGCATTTTGCTCTAGAGATCCAACACAGGTGATCGGATGTATGATCCCCTTTTTATCTTAAGACGCATGTATTGAGAATTCTAAGTCATTATACTTCTGTGTGTCTTAAGTTTGGTATTGTACTGGGGTTCAATCTGAGCAATAAAAGTTAGAAGATGCTTCTGCCTTTCATGTTTACCCTTTATTAGAAAAATTCATGTGAACTGGGAAAATTCTTCTACTATGGTAAGAAAGTACCTGTGTCCATGGATTGATATATCCACATGGATCATATCATCAACATGCAGGTTTGGGAAGTATGGCAATTTCTTCTGTTTTGCATATGACACACATCATAAGGTTCTTTTTGCACGTTTGGAATGAAAAGGTGTTGTGAATGCAATTTATTCAATCTATTAGTGGCTCAGTCTGAGGTGCCATAGATCTGAATTATCAAGAGAAAGAGAAGAAAAATTGTTACAGACTGGGCTAGCTACATTGGTTATGACTAAGGTGCTGACTGTTGACTGTTGGGGAATGCATGAGTTACCAATCTATACAAGTCATGCTGCTCCTTAGATAAACCATATTCTATTTATTGAAGGCAGTGATTATATTAACCTAATATGCGACATCACACGAAAAAATTCCTCATTTAATCCCTTAAAAAATCTGATAACACAGTAATTTCTCCTGTAGGTTCTCGTAGTGGCATATCCACCACATGCACATGTAATAGCACAAGCACAGGTCAAGACAAGCCTAAAATTGTCCAATTCATCGCACAAAATCTTCAATTCGGTAAAATAACTAGTAATAGACAGATTTCCTTGTTGGATACGGATCTGGATCAAGGTGGAGCTTAACAATAAGGGAAATGGGGCTTCGAGGGTGAGAGAAGAAGAACTTGCAAGAGAAAGATTCTTTGTTACTGGGAAAGAGTCACAAGAGCTGAGCTCTTACAATGGAGAACTCCCTCACACAGGGCAGAGCCTCAGTTACAGGCTATTTGCCAAAATATGCCTTTTATACCAGTACGATCCTCTATATAGCAGGGGTTAGGCTTCTCTCCTACACTTCCTGCAACTGAAAAACCTCCTAACAAACTTTACAACAGAGTACTAATGGTATAACAGAAAGCTAACTACCATAACCTCCCTTTAGGTATATTCCAAAAGGAATATACCTTCCAAGCCCCAGGGTGCCCCCCATTGAGAATCCCTGTCATATCATTGTCAAAATGCAAAAAGTTCTTGTAAATTTGAAATTCTAAACATATAACCTTGTCTAAATACTTCTTTCAGGTTATTCCAAGAATCTGAATCTATGTCAGTTCATTGTATACTTTGTGCTATTTGTTGTGACTTGTGAGACTGAATGATTGATCAAAAAGAGGATCATTGTATTGAATCACTCCCAAAAAGGGTAAATTAGAACCATCACTCTTGGTGCAGGTATTATCTAGTAGACAAATCTAAGCATATTTTTTTGACAGCAATGGCATCCTCATAACTCTAGACCACAAGTGATAGTTTGGCCCTGTGAAAGGTGGTGATGCGAAAATGAAAGCCGGATTCTCATTAGGATGCAAATGATATGGACCAGAAGGGTTCTTTGGGATCTATATTCTATGTTGCACCGACACTGACACGGGACTGGATTCATGTAATTTGTCTATATTCATGTTTTTTGAAATGTCGGTGCATCATAGTTGTTGAGATATATAGTTCCACATTGGTTATATGTGGAGTTTATAAGTCTTTGGGCACTCCCACCCTTTGAGCTAGCTTTTGGGGTGATGTATCCCAAGGTTCTTTACATGGTATCAGAGCGTTCGAAATCTCACCGCCTCCCACTTTCTTTGTAGTGGAATTTCCACATGTAGGTGAGCTTGTATGTTGTCCACTCTTCAAGCTCAGTGGGCTCTTATGTGGAGGAGCGTGTTGAGATATTTAAAATCATTAATGTAGCCTCACCCAACAGCTTAAGCTTTTGGGTTGAATTGGTTCTTTACATGGTCAAAGCCTCGTCGTCCCCCACTTTCTCTTATGGAGTTTCTTAGCACAGGTAGACTGGGCCTGTTGCATTGTCCACTCTTCAAGCCCAATGGCTCTCGTGTGAGGGGGCGTGTTGAGATATATAGTCTCACATTGATTGTATGGGCAACTGATGTGGAGTCTATATTCATGTTTTTTGAAATGTCGGTGCATCATAGTTGTTGAGATATATAGTTCCACATTGGTTATATGTGGAGTTTATAAGGCTTTGGGCACTCCCACCCTTTGAGCTAGCTTTTGGGGTGGTGTATCCCAAGGTTCTTTACATGGTATTAGAGTATTCGAAATCTCACCGCCTCCCACTTTCTTTAGTATGTATACACCACCCTAAAAGCTAGCTCAAAGGGTGGGAGTGTCCAAGGCCTTATAAACTCCACATTAGTTGCTCATACAACCAATGTGGGACTATATATCTCAACACGCCCCCTCGCACAAGAGCCTATATCTCAACACGCCCCCTCACACAAGAGTCCATTGGGCTTGAAGAGTGGATGATACAACAAACCCAGCCTACCTGTGCTAAAGAAATTCCATAAGAAAGAAAGTGGAGGCGGCGAGGATCGAACCCAGGACTCGAGGCTCTGATACCATGTTAAGAACCTTATGATACATCACCCCAAAAGCTAGCTCAAAGGGTGGGAGTGCCCAAGACCTTATAAACTCCACATTAATTGCACATACAACCAATGTGGGACTATATATCTCAACGATAGTCTATATTCATGTAATTTGGGACTGGATTCAATGATTGATGTTTGACGAGGAAATGTGTGCAGCAGTAGTACAGCTCAGAGTGAGCTCTTATACCATAACATGAATCTTATTTTCTGTGGATGAATCTGAATTATGACCGAATGAATGAAGATACACAAGGGGCCAGCTATTTCTATATACATACTTGACCCTGATGCTATGAGAGTTACAGGAGCAACTAGCTATAACCACTGGTATAACAAACTACGACTGAAATTAAGTAACTGTGCAACATGTAAATTTTGTCATCACAAAGCGGTGCAGGTGCTATTAAGTGGAACATAGCAGTTCCCCAAGGTATGATTTCAAAGGAAATATTCAGAGTGAGCATCATATGCGAGTATCTTCCCATACATTTACCTTTAGCCAAACCATATTGCACCACATTATAATTAGCTATGTATTCTACAATTCGATCAATGTCATTGCACCTTGAAAAGAAAAAAGTTTTTGAGATACCTGACACATTTTCTCATAATGAATCTCAAATGTGAGTGCGAAAGGAGAGAGATTGCTTCGATTTAACCACTCACCTCAAGCTTTTGAGATATTTGGAAGTATAGGGAATCAATTGGTACCCAAAATGCATGTTGCCTTTGTTCAGGAGTGCCATCAACAAGAAAAATTTCCTCCGGTTGGTACCAGATATTGTTAAGCAAATTGTCATATGAGATACCATCACTGATATTTGTGGTATAGTTTGCAAAGTTTAAGTACCCTATTTCCCTGGTGTAATCTCCATCGGCTTCTAGGGGTAACTCATCCTTAGGCCCTTGCCCATACCGCTGCATTTTAACATCCAAATTTCATTGATTTTTTATCAGTTTAAGATTTACATGATAGAGTTCTATTACTTCTATCAAACTAAACTGAGTCACCGTTGGATTCTCTCTTTTTAAAGCTATAGCTACTTATAAGCATAAGTTAGCCCAAACAAATTTTGGGAAAAGTTCTTATAATGAAAAGCTCTTTATTTTATAATGAAGAAAAAAGCTGAAAACTAAAAGCTCTTAGGAGGAGCTTTTTTTTAAGCTCTTATCTGTTCTTCTTGAATTGTGTGTTTTTTTTAAATGAAGAGTTATAAAGATAGAGAGAGAAATAATTTTCTTGAAACATGTGCTTTTAAGTAATTTTTAAGCTAAATTTTCTATGTAATTACCAAACAGCTTTTGGCTTCTTTTTTTAAGCTCTTATTTTTAGCTTTAGCTTATAAGTAGCTTCTAATTTAAAATTAAGAGGATCCAAACAGGCTCTTAGGATATAAAGGCAGAAAATTCAATACCTGCCAGCTCCAAAGACCAAAATGTGCCCAATATTGAGGAATAACTACATCTCCAAAATTTAGGTAAGGGTTTACACCCCCAGCAGTGCCATAATGCACAACTCCTATTAATTTGAAAAAGCTCAAAAGAAGCTGAGTAGTTATTGCTGCATTTATCTTCACAAGTGTATTCAAGTGCAAAGCATATGTTACATTCAGATAATATGCTATTAACGTTCATATAATAAAAATAAAATGAGGAAATTAAACAGATACGTTAAGACACAACCATACCATGCCTAATCCAGTCATGACCAATATAACAGGCTTATCACCAATAGCTCCAAAGCGAAATCTCTTTCCTTCATAATTAACATTATAAAAAAAAGATAAATAAATAGAGAACAATATCTTGTTTATCTCAAAAGGTTTAGTTTTATTAATTAAAATGATTACCAGCAAAATCTATGGTCTTGTTGCTACAAGTGTAGTTCGGTGACTGAAGCAGAGGGTTCAACTCAAAAGTGTTTGGTATTACTAAACCAAGATAGGGTCCTTGTTTGTTGACTTTCTCAATTTCTCTTACCAATTCTGATGTTAAAGCTCCATTGGCATGTTGTGCATTAATAACCCATATGAATGCCAAAAGAAACATGATGAACATAACTCTCGTGCCAGCCATGTTTCCCAAACAAGAACCGGATCGAGATGATGGAAGAACTGCTTTCTACCTAAGGATTGGTCTTTAATATTATTAAAACAAAACCGAGTCCAAAATATAAAACAATTAGTATTTAAATTAAAAAAAAAAAAAATGAACCAAGAAAATTAAAATAAAGTAATAATTAAACCTGGGCAAAAGGCCTTTACCTAATTTATTATCCTTGGCCCATAGTTCGATTTGAATCCCATTAGATCCATATTTAGCTTCAACTAAGATCAATTTGGTTTGAGGAAAGAGGACAGAGCAAAGAAGCTGCTGGTTAGCAAAGAGAAAAAAGAGACTACACAGGAATGTTATATTATTCTCACGGGTGTCACTTTTTAAAAAAAAAAAAAAAAAAGTTGCCATAAAATTCCATGAACATATAACGTAAGATAATTATTTTCAACATATGAGACAAATATTTTTCTATTTTTATAATTATATCAAAGTCATTTTTCTTCTTTTTTTACCTTATCTTCTGCTATCTATCAACTAATTGCAAATTTCTCCAAACTTTACTTTGTCGTCCTTCTTTTCAATCACTAGTTTATTATCCTATAGATTATAGCAATCTTATTAAATTTGAATCGGTCAGTGATTGAGGTACTGTGTCAGTGGATTATTGTTTTAATCAATGAATTACTGGTTTAATTATATGATCCGAAGATCATGTATATAAATTTATATTTTATATTCAAAATTATCCGAAGATCATATATATAAATTTATATTTTATATTCAAAATTATACAATCAATATTTTAAAATGTTATATTTATCTCATTTTGCATTAGATAATTGAATTTCCTACACGCACAAAAGATGGTGGGTCCCACTTTTTTTTTTCTCTCTCCTCTTACTTATGGGTCTCACTTGCAATCTTGTTTCCATAACATAAGATAATTATTTTTCTACTACATAAGAAAATTATTTCCCATTATAGTCTAGTGATTTATTTTATTTTTTTATTTTTGATTTTTGAATAAATGATGTAATTTAACCCAATATAGCCTAGTGATAAAATATCAACCCGTGAGAAGGGTTCGACCCCACTAGTGGTATACATTTTTAAAAACCGGTTTGTCAAGCTTTAAGGAAATCACCCAAAAATACTAAAATAAAATAAAATAAAATAAAATAAATTCTCACCAATAAGAAGTTTATACAAGGGAGGGGAGGGGGGGATTGCATTGAGCATTTGTACACCAAGCATGTAAAAAGTTGGCTCTAAATAAATTTTAAAAAGTCTAAAGAAATTTCATGTCTATTTCTTAAGCCCTACTCTTTAGACAATAGGCGCTCCCCACGTGTGCCAGTGTTGCAAATTAAGTAAACCAAATTGGGACTAAGATCGTGAGTATCATCCTCTTGTAACCAGGTTCTCAATGTCATGTTTTTAACTTACAGTATGTAATTGGAATTGCAGAATTGGAGACACGGTGGCATGATCTAGAATTTGAATCTTGATAATTGAGAATGACCGTGGCGTGGCGCACGTGGAACTGGAGATTGTGATCACTTGTTCTTATTGTATAGTCTTGAAGACATGAATAGGAGTACTTGTGTACAATTTTTGTGCCTTCAATCCGAATTCATCAACCTTGTGCTTATGCAAGGGTTTTGAAACCAAGAGAAACTCAACAGCTTGATTGATTAGGGAAAGGAGAATAAGAACTATACCCAATTTAATATCATCCTTTACCATTTTGAAATACTCATAAAGGACTGAAGAAAAATGTTGCAAATCCAATAGGAAAACTGACAAGAGTGCTAGGGAGAATGCAACTAAGAGAGCCATGAAGACTAGGAAGATAACAATGAGAAGCACAAGGAAAACGAATGAGGCATGGAGAAGGGTAAGGAGAATGAGATCCAAGTTGGGGAACATACTTGAATGTGATTTTGATAAAACCAAGGCATGTTATGTTGGTTGTTAAAGGAAAGAGATGAGAAGGGACATGAAGTAAACTCACACATATTCTATCCTTCTAATAGCATTTAACCACTTTTGAACTCTTTATACAAACCAATATTTGAGACATAAATTGGATACTACTACAGTGTATGGCTAAAGAAAAAGTCATTATATACATGCAAGCAAAGCATGGAATATTCCCTCGATAGAAAAATTATTGGTTAAATTAGCTTGGCATGGAAAACCCGCTTCGAACCTGCGAAGGCAAAGCCCTTTTGTAACCATCACAAGTTTTCTTTTTGTCTTTTTATTTCGACTTTAGTTTACTTCATTATATTTTGTATGCTTTAGAGTATTGAGAAAGCTGATTCTACTTGTATTCAACTTTTGTTGCATAAACAACCTTATAAAATCGTGATCGAATTTGAGGCTCAAATTCAAGAATGATACCTTACTTGTCATTTCTCAGTGTTAATTGTTAGTACTATTAGTATTTCATTGTTTAAGAATTGAGGTGCAGCAAACACATTTACTGTGTGGGTACGGTGGATGCACCATGACCATAGATGGATGCACCAATCTCTCAGGTAAAGAATCAATTCAACCCAAAAGTTTAAGCTATTAGATGAGGTTATATTACGAATCTCTCAAGTTGTAAAGAACTAATTCAACCCAAAAGCTTAAGCTGTTGGGTGAGGTTCTATTAATGATTTTATATATCTCAATATATCCCCTCACACGAAGCTCACTGGGCTTGAAGGGTGGACAATGCACAGTTCCATCTACCTATGCGAAGAAAGAAATTCCACTTGTTGGGTAAGGTTATATTAATGATTTTATATATCTCAATATGAGTTAAGAAATTTTTTTAAGTAATCTAGACCACCAACAATCGGGCGGTCTTTTATCCAAAACGAAATTTTTTCCTCTCATCCAAATTCATTCATTCTTTCGTAATTCAACCCAATCCTTTTTCCCTTCCATTTTTGGACAAGGAACATGTGTTTCGAAAGTATCAAAAATGAGGTTAAAGGAAAAATAATACCCCATTACTTTATGAATGGAAATATGTTTATTATGTTACATGATATAACTTATCTCATACAACATACAAAAAAGTAGGTGAGACTTATTAAAAAAAAAGTGAGTCTAACTATTTTTTATGTATTACATAAGATAAAATTATCTCATACAATATAAAAAAAATGACCAATGTTTTAGGTTGCAGGTCTGTAAAGCTAGAAAACCGGTAGGTCAAAGCTAAAAACCTGTTAAAAAAAAAACTCACAAAAAATCTACCAAACAAAAAACTCAAAATAATAAAAAGCCCACATGGGCTAAGAGTCCACAAAATCTTGTGGACTAGGCAAATCCATGGACATTCGAAAGCTACGATTTTTAAAAAATTAACATGAATAATGCATTTTTACCTTTGTCAGATTGGATGCATTCAAAAGCTTTTGTTTAACTTACTTCAACAACCCGAATAGGAAAATTTCTTAGGTACAGCAGATGTATTCACCTGAGTATTCTTTTTTTTTTTTTTAAAGTGAAAATTTTTCTCCCCTCTAAAAGTTTTCATCTAAATCCAAAAACTTTTCTTATTTTAGGGAGAATGTACGTACATCCAGAGATGGATCTACATGCATTAGAAGGGGGTAAGTGCTCCACCTTTAAAATATGATGCAAAAATATAAAAATATTTTTCTCCTAAAATTCAAATTTTCTCAATTTAATTGAGGGGTAGGATATTGTAACAACCAATTAGGGTTACTACCAATCAATTTCACCTTTAGATCGATTATAACGGTTATATTTATTTCTATCTTAGTTTGGTTATGATTCTCCATATTTAATACTTTATATTTTTTTTCATTTTTGTATGATTATGATTTCTCATATTTAATGCTTTTACATTAAATATGGGGATCATAACCATACAAAGATAGAAATAAATATAATTATTATAATCGATCTAACGTTGAAATTGATTGGAGGTAACTCTAGTTAGTTGTTACGATATTCTACCCCTTTAATTCTCCTCATATTTTATTTTCCGGTGAGTTTTTTTTTCTCCTTCACCTTTATTGTCTAAACCTAACAGCAATGATTCATATCCTCTCCAACCTCCTCAAACATTTGCTTCTTCTTCCATCATCAGTTCAGTTGAGTCGCAATTCGTCCATATCTAGATCTAAACCAGACCCAGACAGCCGGCAGCTACTCGTAAGTCACATTTCAGACCAAACCCAGATCTATATGTACTTGAACTTATATATTAAGTGCCCACCCTTCATTAATTTTCTGGATCCGCTACTGTCTACCTACCTCCGTTGCACTCAAAAATTGTTCGAACCCAATAGTTCTTGGTTTTTTTTCCCAGTGTTTTTTTTTTTTTTTTTTTGGTAAAAAGGAGGGCCTAGCCCAGAAAGATTAAATTGAAAGCTGATGCATGTTAAAGGAAACATGCTCCATCAACAAGAAAGTACAAAAGTCTCTCCAAGAAGGAAAAACACTTGCAGGAGGAGAGGAATAAAGTTTCAACTCTCCACCCCTACAGCTGAAACCTAACAGTGCTAGACGATCAGCACAGCTATTAAACTCTCTAGGAATAAACTCAAAATAAACATGCTCAAAGAACTGGACAATTCTCCTGATTTTTCTAAGCAGGGGAGAGTAACTGTCCGAATCAGTAGAAGCTTTTATGCAAAAGAGAGCTTCCTTACTATCACACCCAATCCAAACATCCTTCACCTGCAAATCCAAAGCCAACTGGAGCCCCTGCCAAACCCCCCAAATCTCAGCCTCCAAGATCGAGGTAGTCCCAATGTTGTAAGAAAAGCCACTCAACCAAACTCCACTTGGATCGCAGATGAAGCCTCCACACGCTCCTCTACTAGAGTGATGGTTGACAGCCCCATCTACCAGAATTTTAACAGCATCCTGATGTTCCTTTTTACTACATCCAACAAAAGAGATGGGGTCTGTTTGAATTTTCGGGAAAGGATCCCCATTGCAGGTCAACTTCATATCTCCCAGATAATTCAGAATCTTGCTAATCGGGTCACCAGGCCATATAAACTCCTCATCATGAATCACAAGGTTTCTCCATTGCCAAAGAAACCAACAAGATACAAAAAAGACTTCCTTCCAGGAGTGCCACAGTTTGGATGAGAAGGATGAACAAATGTTGAGCTTAAACCAGTCAAAATCTACTGCTGTCAAAAAAGAGTTGGGAATTATACCTCCAAACCAGCTTTCCCACATATTCCTAGCTCTTCTGCAATCCCTAAGAACATGCATCAATGACTCTTGCTCAAC